ATATATATATATATATACACTATATATAAAACTTCAGAATAACTTTCTGTATTTTACCAGTGTTAGTTTCAGGATCTTGTTGCATTATATCTGATTTTGGACAAGTTGTAACTTCTGCCTGTGAATCTTGTACCTGTGAATCTTGTATTTGTGAATCTTGTACCTGTGAATCTTGTGCCTGTGAATCTTGTGCTTGTGAATCTTTTGCCATTTCAGATGTTTCTACTTCCATGCATTCATCTATTACCTCATAGCATTCTTCTTTGTTTATAATTATTTCAGTATCTTCTATAAAATCAGATTACATATAGTAATGGCATAAACAATTATAACCATAAATAGTTAAGCCAATAAAAAAGAATTTCTCGAATATTCCACGCCTCAAATTGATACAATTTAAGTTTAGGAACTAAACTCCCTAAACAGTTCTCAACAGTATACAGTTGCAACTTTGAACCATTTACCCGTCAACGAGGAATCGCCCATGGCTCCAAATTTGTGCAGAAACACGAAGGCGAACGGAACAACACTCGTGAGAGTTTATCGTCTTCGAATTGCGATAATAACTACCATGCATATGACGTAATCCAGTGACTGGCAAGAGAAATGACGGAATAATTGATCGCAAAAACAGCAGCAGCAATAAGCACTGACAACGTTCGTTAATAACGGCGTATCGTACGCATCTTCGATTATTCGGTTGTTTACGAGAAACAAATTTACGAGCTTACCATTTACGAGCTCCGCATTTAAAAATATGCACCAAAGAGACGCGTGGCTAGCGTTCACTGCTATCTCGTCTTCTGCTTTCGCTTGCAACGTTCTTGTTTTGCACTTTTCAGCTCCTATATCGAACGAATATCATGAAAAATGAATGGATCTATAGACCTATCTTTTTGTTGCTGACGTTGCTGTACTACGCTTATTAGCTTTATTAGCAACTTTTAAAAGACTTATTTTTTAAAAAATATATAACATCGAGACAGACATATAACAAAGCGAGAGAAAAGGAAAGAAAATAGGAAGTACAAAAGGAGCAAATACAAAGACATACGTTAACGATCCTCACACTACTTAACTACTAAATATAGTGAATATAGATGCGTTCTTAAAAACATCGAATCATGCACTACGTTTATACAACTCAATTTACGCCGAAATTATAATCACAATAGTTATATTGGCTAATTATAGCTATTCTTCTGAAGAATGGAATGACTGTAATTGGCTAGTTTCCTAACATCGATGTTAATGCTGCGATCAAAGTTCACTACAAATGTTTTGAAGCGTTTGGTTGACCAATTAGAAAAAAGAATTTTACGAATTAACCAATCAAAAATTGCTTTAAAGCATTTGTAACATCGTGTTGACCGTATCCTAAGTCTTGTGTCCATTGTTAGAAATCGGCAGATTTCGCATAAAGAAAAAATCTCGCCAGAATCTCGCATAAAGAAAAAATTGATCAATCGTATTGGTTTTGTGTTCAAATTGTTCAAATGTGATTTGTTAATTCTTCTCTGAAATTTCGGACTGATTTCTAGCATTATTACAGGCCTAGTTTCCACCGAGAATCCGGATCAGAATGAAACCAACCAACTACAGTCGAGTATTTCCTTGTTAGGTCGGGTTCACACCTGGATGGAAAAGCGGAAAGCAAAAAAGCGGAAGCCAATCGAAATTCGCAGTAGTCATAAGCGATACCACCGACAAGATACTATTAAAGACATCCTTACGGGAGTTCAGAATATTGAAGTGTCTTTGAGAATATTGAAGTGATTAAGAGTTAAAAACTGATAATACTGTATTAATTTTATGATTTATTAGTAGATGTATTTATGTATTTAAAACTCAATAATATTCGATTTTTCTTTAAAATTGTGATTTCAGTGTTATCGTCAAAGTTTGATTATCAATAGAGATGACTGTAGAGAAAAAATTGTAATTTTTCTGCAATATATAGGATATTATAGTTTTACAAGTATGCACATTTATGTATGGAACATTTATTAGGTGTACAACTTTGCTTCCGCCGTTTTCCTATAGATGGCTTTAGCGGTAAGTGGTGGTCGAAATAAATAGATCATAGACGTCATACAATAAACTTGGGCATCTGTCAACATAACCCCATAGAAACATTAGTCGATTTGTGTCTGCATCATAAAGTTATTCTCGATTGAAAATGTCAGTTTACGAGCCAAATTCTCGTCATTTGCGGGAGATTTTAATTTTTTGCTTCAATATGAAGAAATCTGCAACTGAGGCTCATCGAATGCTCTCAAATACTTATGGTGAGGCCGCTATTAGTAAAAGAACGTGTCGTGAGTGGTTTCAACGCTTCAAGAACGATGATTTTGACGTCGAAGATCGGCGTAGCGGTGAAAGAGAGGTTTTCGAAGATGCAGAATTGGAGGCATTACTTGAGCAAGACTCGTGTCAAAATCAAGAAGAATTGACACGATCATTGGGAGTGACTCAACAAGCCATTTCAAAACGCCTCAAAGCCATGGGAATGATTCAAAAGCAAGGAAATTGGGTGCCGTACGAATTGAAGCCGAGAGATGTTGAATGGCGTTTATTTGCTTGTGAACAGCTGCTTGAAAGGCAAAGACGGAAGGGATTTCTGCATCGCATTGTGACTGAGGACGAAAAATGGGTTCATTACGATAATCCCAAGCGCAGAAAATCATAGGGAGTTCCCGGCCATGCTTCCACGACGGCCAAACCGAATATTCACGGCTCCAAGGTCATGCTCTGTATTTGGTGGGACCAGCTCGGCGTAGTGTATTATGAACTGTTAAAACCGACTGAAACAGGCGATCGGTATCGAACGCAATTGATACGTTTGAGCCGAGCAAGACAAACGGCCGCAATACAACGAGAGACACGATAAAGTGATTTTGTAACAATGCTCGACCCCATGTTGCGAAAGTGGTCAAGACATACTTGGAAACGTTGAAATGGGAAATCCTACCCCACCCGCTGTATTCTCCAGACGTTGCTCCCTCTGACTATCACTTGTTCAATCAATGGCACACGGCCTGGCCAGCACTTCCGGTCTTATGAAAAAGTAAAAAATTGGATCGATTCGTGGATAGCCTCAAAAGATGACCAGTTTTTTCGACGCGGGATTCGTACACTAAGAAAGATGGAAGAAAGTAATGGCCAGCGATGGACAATACTTTGAATCATAAATGTATAACCAGTTTTTTACAATAAAGCCTCGAATTTTGGAAAAAAAACGGCGGATGCAAAGTTGTACACCTTATATATAATAAAAAATTATAAATTTAATAATGCATAAGCCAAATATTTATGTTAATAATAGCAAATTTATATCAATTATCGATAATATCTGCAATTACCTCCGGGCCCTTCGGGCTCTTTTCATAAAAATTTGCCTAGGATTGACGTTGGTCTTTAATCTCATCGGTGGCGGTACATTTCCCTTATCTGCTTCTTTCCGCAAGTTCTGATTAGTTTCCGTTTTTAAATTTTTCATTTTTCCATCAAGGTATGAATTCGGCCTTATGAGCCAGTCAAACGAGGGGAATGCTCGACTATAATTTATTAATTCTTACATTTTGATTCGGATTAAACTCTTTAGAAATTAAGCCGTAGACACAAGGCTTTATAATTTTGATGTAAATTGAGCCTAAAGATAATAGCTGCACCTAGAAACACGACTGCTCAGTAAGCGCTCAGTGAACTCTTGCATCTGGGAATCGATTCTGTATCTTGAAACGAGGTGAAAATTACAAAAGTGAACGAATTTACTAGAATACTGATAATTTCATTGGTCAACACCTAGTAAATTTGCTCACATTTATAATTTTCACTTTGAAGATATCGAATCGACCCCTTGATTGGCATATTCTGTTGGATCTAAAAATATAGAAACCAAATAGCGGTCGTGCTGGATACACCTAAATCCGGGTCTACAATAGATGTTTTAAGCTTTAAGCCGTAAGAAATTGATCAACTACACTCGAATATGAGGAAAATAATTTATTGTGATCGGTTCATTCCTTATCGCTTAAGGCTTAAAAATTTATTATAGATCCGAGATAATGGATGCCTTGAATGTATTCGAGTACTATGACCGCCCACTGAACGCTCAATAAAACGATTATAGTACTGAATGGCTGCGTTCAGCGGACTAAACAGTTGAATAAACACTCGCTGTTATTGGTGTATTCTTTTAGATTATCCAATCAACATTTTAGATCTAGAATAATATACTCAATAGCGAGTGCTTACTCAACTGTTAAGTCCTCTAAATGCAGCCATTGGTTGATATAAGTTACGGTTACGCAAGTTGCATCGTATATGACGGCATCCTTATGCCCATATTTATATTTAAGGCTTCCTTAAATTTATCTTCAGATATTCTACGAATTATTTCATTAGCTACTGAGCATCTAAAGATAAATTTAAGGAAACCTTAAGTACAAGATCTAACTATAAATACGGGCATTAGAATAATCTAATAACCGCTAATAACTGTTTAATTTAGTGCGTTAATACAGCAAATGACATTCCAGCCGACGAGAATGAATTGAAATGAATTGAAATGGATTCAGATTTTCAGAAATATTGATTCACGATTCAATGTTAAAATAAATGCTTTTCAATTCTGAATATTTTTATTCATTTATAGGAATTGCATATTTCTATGTCTTTCAATCTAAAAATAATATTAGCTTTTTCTGTGCAACACAATTGTGAATATGTTCAATTCAAAATTTTAAATAGAAAATGCAGTTTTTCAATCCAATTGCATCCAATTGAATCCAATTGAATCCAATTGAATCCAATTAAATCCAAAAAAAGTATTCACTATTTAAAATACGCATTACAAAAAGTTTCAATCCATTTTAATACATTCTCATTTGGAAATAAAGTCTAAAGCTTGCGGCACACGATACTTGTTTTCCTGCTGGATTGCTAGCTGAATTAGAATCTTATTGTCATATTGGCTGCGATGCTGGTACTGACATCATCGCAACCAATACGATGGCAAGATTCTAATCCAGCTAGCAATCCAGCTAGCAGGAAAACAAGTATCGTATACCGCTGGCTTAATTATAAAATTATTAATTTATATTATTACAATGATTAAAATATTTTATATTGCCCATTTAATAATATTTCCTAAGTTCTTAAATATTTATATCAACATAAAACGTTTATAGTTTTGCAGTTTTACAGCTTTTAAAAATATATTCCATTTTTATTTAGTTTGTTTATTCGCAAGTTATATATATAATTATATTTAATAAAATATTTTAAACGATGGATGATGACCTCTCCTTCATCTATTCAAGTCAATTTCCTTTAATGTAAAAATTCCATATCTATAAATTCCTAACTAAAGTGTAATATATATTCATAGTCTATAGTATTGTATATTGTTGTTTTAAGATTATCTTAAATAATGTAAAGATGCTAAGAGTCTTTTTCATTAACTTTTACTTAAATTAATCAATGATCAACTCGCAGAAATGCCAACGATATAGTTTAATATATCAGAGTGTCTTCTCTCTCTTCCTCTCTCTTCCTCTTCTGAGACAAACTATGTTTAGTTCTCACGTTGGTAATCGTGATGATTTGATCAACCATCGATGTATCGCATTAGCATTAATCAGAATTGATAAAAGAGACCCTATCTCTAGTTCATAAGGTTTATAATATATATCTTACTATATTTAAAACAGTCTTAAATATTTAAAAATCAATTATAAACCGACCGTTTCCGACCTAAGTGTAATATTATCGCTTTTCAACTTTGTACTATTCCTTCTAAGTACATAATTGGAAGCCCTATGCCACTCTACTCAGAAGGGTAGTTTGATGCATTTCGGTTAAAGGGCGCTTATATCGCGATCACGAGGGCGCAGACGCGTGTCTTATGGATTTTACCCCGCGTGTCGGGGGCGACGGGTAAGGTTCTGGTGGTAGCCCGATGAGAATCGAAGGGAAATAGTGAGCGAGGGTAGGAGGGGGTGGATTGTTCGCGCGGTTCACATTCGTGAAAGGGAGAAGGAGCGATGCGCGTAACAGTCACCGAGGGAAGGGAAGGTGGAAGTGAAAGAGGAGGAGGAAGAGAAAGAGAAGGAGAAGGAGGACGAGGAGGAGAAAGAGAAGGGGATGGGGGATCACCACCGAAACGACAGAAGCGACGGGTTGGGCCGGCGGTCTACAACGTGTGACCTGCCCGATGTTGCAGGGATGAACGAGCCCGCGCATATCAACGCATATTCCATTGTGCACGATTTGACGAAAGGGCTCTGACATGTGACCGGACCGGAGTGTGCATCGTTCCGGGGTGCGACTGTCCGTCCATCCAGCAGCAAGTTCCTGCAAGGACTTCCGTGGTCAACCACGTGACGATTTTGGTAAGTTTTTCTTATTTTTCTCAAAGGAATCCTTTGTGTTGATAAGAGGAAGAGATGAATATTCTAATGCTTTCAAGGGGGAACGAAGTTCTCATGAATTTTGAAAATACGTAAGGGGGAGGTGAACGGGAGAGGCGATGATTTATTAATTATAATTATTAGTTATTATATGTCATACTTTATTGTACATTTGTGCATCTAACGAAAGTTCATCTTTTCTAAAATGTAAGATATAATGTGACACACACACACACACACACACACACACACACACACACACACACACACACACACACACACACACACACACACACACACATTTATGTATACACATATATTATATCTCACATTTTATAAAAGATGAATTTTAAGTATAACATAATATAACATATAGTAACTAATAATTATAATTAATAAATGTTTTTATTTTTTTTTAAGTCAATTGTTTTTTAAGTCAATTTCAGTCGATTGTTTTTTTGAAGAAATTAAAAACCTAGTCAATTTAAAAAAATATGTAAAAGATAATATAAAGAATGTTTAAAAAAAACTTATCTTTTAGTTATTTTTAAATTAATTTTGTATTAAATAATATAATTTTTTTTTATTTATGTGTGCACACATTCTTGCGTATATTTTTTTTAAATAAGAATTTCAAGAAAATGGTCAAAAATATGTTATTATTTGTTAAAAATCTAAATCTTTATGTAGATTATAATAAAAATTTTATAAATATTTTATATGTATATACATAAATAGAAATTCTTTAAAATTTTTTTCTAATGTAAAATGTTGGGACAAGCGATTGTATTTAAATTAATTTAATATATAGGATATTGTATACTTATAAAACTGAATTTTAAGAAAAACTATATCTATGTATTTCTTAGAATTCCAGAATGACATGCCATGAAATTTAGAACAGCTCTAATTTGCATTGATCAGAAAATGTAAATATTTTATTATACGTTTTATTACAGCAACGATATACTGGATATAACACACCTAATTCAACTTCGATTACTTATAACTTTCATAAAAGTGAAAATTTTTCTTTCAATCAGGACGCCTAAAATTTAGGAATAGAATGCTACAAACAAATATATTTATTAAGTCTATAGCTGTGTTTTAAAATTTACTGTTAGTACTAAAAATCTATAGTACATATGACATAAACTATAGATAAATTATTTCAGTACTGACAGTAAATTTTGAAACGCAGTCTATATGTATTACAACTCAAAAAATTACTAAAACAATAAAAATTTTATAAATTGTTTTATTATTAATATATGTCTATATAAAATTTAAGCACAATTTTCTTATTAATTCAAAAGTTATTTAAATTTTTTGTTTGCTTTGCTTCTTATCTAAAATCGCGTAAATTGTGTACAGTTTTGTATTATTTGCATTCGATGAGGAAATAATGTTACGAATTAAATATTTTATATATATTAATTTATTTTATATATATTAATAAAATTCTAAATATTCGTGCAAAATAAATTCACTTAGTCATTTCAAAGTTATTTAAAACTGTAACAAAAAGTGATGATAAGAGCCATTAAAAGCTAAATAATTTTTGTTTTGCAGTCTCGTGCAGTTTTTTGCAGTTTCGTGACGTATTTATGACAAAATTTTTTTATAATATTGGCTGATATTGGCATTTAACTGATTTTTTACTGATACTTTTAACACAAGTATCAAAGAATATTGCAAAATATTTTTAAAATATTTAAATATCCTTAAAAAATTTATAAGCATTAAAGTAAATAGAAGTTTTGAAAAAACTGTATTTAAAAATCCTTATGTTTCATACATACGTAAAATTATATTAAATAAGTGCTTGAAAAATAGAAACTTTGAATTAAAAAAAAATAATATTGTGGTTTTTAAAAAATTTTATATGTAATTAATATATGAAAATGAAAGTAGTTATTTATTTTTATCA